ACTGATTTTCCTTGGCAGCATCACTTTTCCTCAGCACGAGCCAAGGCACGAAGTTCCAGAAGGAGAAAATAAAAATGGCTACGAAACAAGAAGCAGTCTGGCATTGGGAAAGAAATCAGAGCCTTTCTCTGAGCCTTCTGTTCCATCAGGTTAGTGCCATAGGGAAAATAAAAAAAAAAATTAAAATATTTAAAAAAAAAAAAAAAAAAAAAAAAAAAAAAAAAAAAAAAAAAAAAAAAAAAAAAAAAAAAAAAAAAAAAAAAAAGGGGAGGTTTGGGATGCACTTTTGTTATGAGCATTTCTGCTGCACGCGATTCAAAAGTTCACCAAACTTTTCGAAAAGATCCTCCACCCATTTGATGTTTTTCATGCACAGCTGCACGATCTCTTCCTGGCCCAGGTCTGCGCTCGTCTTCTGAACAGAAGAAATCTATTTAAAAAACAGAGAAGGATGGGGAGAGAGAGAGAGATTCACACACACACACACAAGTTAGGCTGCCAGAATTTAAGAATTTTCATTTTTATAGGTCTGCAGTTAAATATGAACCTTCTTTGGAAAAAAAAAAAACCTAAACAACTCTATGCTTTAAAACCAAGAGGAAATGCCCCCAGAAATGCATTTCTAAACAAACCAAGCCAGAGCTCAACTCTTGTATTTCTGCTACCTGTTTCCTCCAAGAATTTGCAGAAAAAATAAAGGAGTGGCGTTCTAAGACAAAATAAAGTTCCAGATCTGAGGAGTTACACACCCTGATGAAATTTGTTTGTTTTTTTTTTTTTTTTTATTTATTTTGGATAACAGTGCAGAATAGTTCAGGGAATCACACAAACCTTGAAAGCCTCATATCTGACTGTTGTGAGCAGCAGTGCCCGCTGGGGCAATGTGTGTGCTCAGTGTACCCTTTTATTTGCCAGAAAGAATCAATCCCAATAGGAGGCCTCAATCCATACTCATCCGCTGAGAAGATGAGCACAGTCCCTCCAGGTGGACTCAATTCCCTCGATAAATTTCCTCAAGGCATGTAAAATTAGCTCAGTGAGAACAATTACTTACCTCTTCTTTACACGTTAGATATATGTGATATTTGTAATGATGGAGTGAGTGATATAAAGAATACAACTGTATTTTTTCTGGATCTACTGTAAACTCCTGCAAAAAGAACAATTCTTTTATGTAAATTCACGTTATTTAGCAAGAGATATTACAGACATTTTCTTCTGTAAACCATTTTTTTTCAACAATTCAGAAACAGAGCGCTTCATTCAAATCATTATTTTGACACATTTTGCCAAACTGTAACTTAAAATATATCACAGTTATCTCCCACCTCCACTTTCCACATTGTTTTATCAAAACCAGGTTTGGGAATGCTTTCATTCAATTCTCTTGAATGCACTGCAAGTCCAAAAAGAGGCAAAACACCCCCTTCTCCAACAACTATTGCAAGAATGACCAAAGCTTAAACCCTTTCCTACCAAATTGATGGGTGACAAACTATCTATTGCAGATGAGTTAAAATAATGATTTAATGTACTGCTTTTGATGTTGGTTTTTAACGTCCTCTTGTTACAGAAAAAGCACCTCACTCCCAGATTTTACGTTTTGATAAACCTACCAGAACACCTCATACACGAAGCAGCATTTTATACCCATGTAAATGTGGTTATCATATTACAAGTCAGATCGTGGTAAACCCCTTTTTGAAGACTCACCTGTGCTAATTTAGTGGTTGACTTGGAAGCCCTCAGTGTTTTTTTGTTGTAAGCTTTCCCATTCATTTTGATCTTGGACACGGACGTTCCTCCACATTTCGCCTTGGGGTCCCGAGTGATCACTGTCAGCTCAGGGAAGTTTTCCAAAGCGTTCTTTAACAGAGCATATATAGAGAAAAAAAAAAAATAAAAAATCAAGAGTGGCCAGACTGATGACAAATTGGCCATTTTCCTTTGAAAAGTTTAGAGTGCAGCCTATTATGAAAAAAATTGTTCTTCCACAAAGACCTGATAAAGTGTTTTTATCAGATCACGCAACCAACCACATGGAAATTGTGACCACCTGGTCTTCTCCGCTGTCACTTTTCAAAGCCAGAAGATCCTTTCGTTGCGTTTCAAGATTATCATCTGTGATTCTCTCACCAGAAAGAGGGGTAAAAAAAAAAAATTAAAAAAAGGAAGGCTCTACTGGGCAATTTCTACTCAAGAATCTCCAAGGCCAAGTTACTCGAGGATCCCTAAGTATTTAATGCCTAATCAGGCACACAAAGCTTTTGTCCCATCTTTTGTGAATTGCAAACTAATTGTCTCGTATCATATCCGTAAAATAAGAAAGCTTCTGCACAGTGCAGTAGAAGGCTGGTTCAAAAAGGCACAAATTTAAGACATATTAAGTCAGGGGAGTGAACTGCACTTCTACCAGCTTTAGTTCCACGTTATTTGCATGAGCAAATTTGAATACAACTTTTCTTGTACAAACAGTACTATAATCCAACAACCTATAATTCATTAGCTCTTTATGTATATCTGTAATTGTTTTCCTTTATTAAACAGAGCTCTCAGTGTAAAGCTATAAAATCCACAGCACAGAGGTAGCAGGAACCCTGAGCACTGTCCACATCCAGACTTCACTGCAATGCTTTCAAACTGGAACAACTTCAGCAGGCTTCAATTATTTAGTTTTTCTACCCGCTGTGATAGTTTTTCTCAAGGTTGATTTTGAGTATCAAGGTGGGAGGAGGGGTGTCTGGCCACTTTTGCCTTCCCCTGGAGAATTCCCAAGAGCTGGAAGAATTTACATGGTCCCACCACTGACCCAAACCAGACAAATCTGGATTGGAATGAAGAAGAAAATACCGGTGATTTCTGCATCCTTGAGAGCATGAGACACAAAATGGTGGTAATAATTTTCAAATGAAATTTGCACAATTCAGATGAGATGCTTCACTTACTGAGCTTCCACTAAGGCAGTGGTAATATTTTCTGAGGTTTTTTATAAAAAACTGTTACACACAGGACACAATAAACTGTTGTAAGTATAAAACATGACACAGGCAAAACTATCAAACACTGACTGCTAACCTCAGTGTCTGCTTTGCAATCCAGTGATAACATATTCCACATTAACTGTGTCCATATTGGAAAACCAATTTATCCATGCTAATCAATGCAGAACAGTAAAACTGTGAATGACAAATGGTATTTTTCACTTATTGCTTTCTCATTCAGCCTCTAATATCTCAACTCATTATTTGATCCAAGGTAGAATAGAAACAGACCTTCATTAATCATCAAATCAACCCAGATCTTAAAGAGCATCAAACACATTTTCCTAACCAACACGAAGTTATGGCAACAAATAGGTATTTCATTTTTATCCAAAATATTGACCCAAGGATGGCACAAGTTGGTACCTTCATACCAGAGAAAAACATAAGAGGTTTTTTTATCTTGCAGATGACATCCCAAGCAGATCCCTTCCTTACATCCATTAAATTCTTGCAGCTAATATGATGAAACACAGGCTTAAGTTAAATTTATAGATATAATCTTTACATGACCTGCCTCTAAGTGAACACACAGCAAAGCTATTGCATTCATTATCAACTCCAACTGAATAAGCAGTTGTAATGACATGTTGGTATTACAGAAAGTTGTATCAGTTTTTTTCCCCTTAAAGTGGGAACTCAGCTACCTCTCACTTTTTGTGTCCTGAGAACGTGACTAGAATTCCACAAGCCCCAAGCCTTCCTACTTTAAGGAGGAAGCCACAAGGAATTCTGTGTCCAGCTGTTGGGAAAACGGCATAACGAACATCAAAAAAGTTCAAGAGTTGTGTGAATTACAGCTGTTTCACTGGTTGATGGTGTTCTCACCTCTGAAACAATGCCACTTTCTGGCACACAAGACTTGCCAGGAAGGGGCTGGGGTGGGGGACAAAAGGGTGTCTTTTATTCCCGAGCAGGAGGACATGAGGAAATTGCCTCAGGTTGTGCCAGGGGAGGTCTAGATTGGATATTAGGAAAGATTTCTACACCAGAAGGGTTATTTATCAGTGGTGAAGTCACCGTCCCTGGAGGTATTTAAAACACGTGGAGATGAGGCACTCAGGGACAGGGTTCAGAGGTGGACTTGGCAGTGCTGGGTCAATGGCTGGACTTGACAATCCTCAAAGGTCTTCCCTCACCCTAAACGATGCTGTGAGTGAAAATAACCTTCACTCACTTCACTGCACTTGCAAAATCTGCGTTGCTGCTTGGAGGGTGGATGGGAACAGTAGGAACCCCAGTGATTATCCTCCTGTTTACCTTCTCTCTACTCAGATGTTACGGCTTCTCTCTTCCCTGGCCACATCCACACCTGTTTTTTTATTACTGCGTCAAAGCTGCTGCAATGTGGGCTTGTTATCCACACTTTTCTCAACCTTCCATGCTGAAGATACATGAAAGAGCACACAAACGAGTTGTCCTTGAGTCCCTCTGTCCTGGTTTTGAACTCCTCTGATCATGTTTCTCTACTTCAAAGAAGTTCAGACATCTGCTCCACAGCACAGCTATTTCATGTGAGAGTTTATTTTTAGGCAATGCCATCACTGAAACCAAAAGCTCTAGAAGGACAGGAAACACACTTGCTTTTGGCAAATTTGTGAAGCTTAAAAGAAAAAAAAAAAAAAAAAAAAAAAAAAAAAAAAAAAAAAAAAAAAAAAAAAAAAGCTTGAGAATGAACCAAAAAGCATGGGGAGTAAAGCCAGAACTTTACCTTCGCAGCATCAACTCCTCCATCCCAAAATGTTCTCCAAATGCCACATACAAGTACTAAATTTATAGCATCTCTCTCAGATCCATATTCACTTGTATTAAAAGTGTTGGGCTTGCACAGTGTGCATTCAATGCCTTCCTTGTGACACGACCTTTAAAATCCTCGAATTTGAAAGAGAATATACCTTGAAAGCGTGATCCAAGCGTAATTTGGGGAGCAGCCTCTTCCTATTGTCATTCAGCATGCCATCAATCTTTCTCATGTGAGGCAAAAGCAGCTCATCTAAAAGACACATTTGATTGTTGATTATTAAGAGATGCACAGCAAAGAGATTCATCTTCTATCTACACTTTGACCCTTTAATGCACAGCGTGGAAAGTAAAAAGAAATAAAGCAATTTGCACATAAACCGATTTTGAATGCGAGAGAAAAATCTTATTTTTCGGACCAGCCCATTAAGCTGGTCTAGATATTATGCAGTTTAATTGCCCCTTCTCGAGAGCATAAATTTTAGAGACAATTTCACACCATTTCCTCCTCGACAGTTTCATTGTTTTATGAAGACAAGTTTGTGGTTTTGACATTTGTTATTCCGTTTTACAAGAGATGGCCCTGCTGGCATTTATAACAACAGAAATCGAGGAAAGTGCTTCCTGATAAAAGTGATATCTGATAAACCACTGTGAATTGCACAGTATACAGCTGAACACAGGCATGTGGCCATGAATGAAAATTTACAGCTCAGTATGGAGCCTTTTATCTGTAAAGTGAATTTCTTTGCTTTCAGTGGGACTGCTGACACAATGCACAGGTCTGAAATCCTGAGGTGAGTGTGCACTGATGCACAGTAAGAGCAAACCAGGAATGGAGAGGACAGAAAACAGAGTTTTTTAAATGCAACCAAACAGAATATAGTACAAAACAACAGCCTGCAACTAAATAATACATGAAATAATTCCTCTTTTGAGATCTTCATCTTTATAAAGGAGTGTTTTTTCCTAAATTTTGAGAAATAGAAGTTTCAACTTGTATCCTGGAGCCTACTAGGCTAAGTAAGTCCAAATAGTTTGTCCTCAAACAAAAAGTGTGTATTAATGCAGTTTTCTTTAATCAGTACTTTAAGACTTCAGAGTTTGAAAAGCAGAATTTTTCATAGCAGCAAGAACGAAACTTTTGTGGTTTTTTTTTTTTTTAAAAACCCAAACATTTGATTGACTGATTTATAATATTAAAATCTAGAGAGAACACACAAATGTTAAACATACTGTACCATTGCTCTTTTCCAAGGCTTGCATGGTGTCAGGATCCAAGGCAATGCTAACAAGCAACTCCATGTAGCTCTTAAAAGTCTCCTTCATAGCTCTTGTGTTCAAAAAGCGAGTAACGAGGGGAGCTGGAGGTACAACCTCTGAAAATGAATCGCAACAGAATGAATTTTTTCCCCTTAATACCCTGCAAAATAGTTGGGTTTTTTTAAAACCGAAGGTTTCTCTCTTAAAACACAAGTGACCCCTACTGGTACCCCAAGAGATTGAAACTCAATGTAGTCAACTGGAATAAAGTGCTTACCTGCCAAAAACAGGGGCAGAACCCAAATGTGCTACAAATGGTTCAGGTCTTTTTTTTTTTTTTTTAACTATCAGCATTTCGATTATAAATTCCTGGAATTTACACATTTTTCTATTACTGTAGATTAAAGTCTAGAGAAAATTGATAATGAATAACTTCAGTCAAGTGAAGGGAAATGCCCCACATGCAGGTTTCGCGTCAATGCAACCGCATCCCAAAACTGCAGAATATGAATTTGGCCATTAGGAAAAAAATAAATAAAAATCCCAGAGCTCAAATATCACTTAGGAGGCTTCACACCATCGAAGCCAATCCCTCCTAATTTTTCAGCTCACCAAAAAAAACCCCCATGTAAACCAAATTTTACCAGAGGAGCAATGAAGGGCATATTTGTGCTTATTCTGAGGAAGCTTTTATTTTTTTTTTTCACAGACAGCAATTTTAAACATGCACATGGAGTAGTCACTGCTTCTAATCAACACTCTGGAAGCTTTTTATAGGCTCCGTGGCTGGCACCAGGGTTTTCAGTAATTTAGCCAGCAGGGCTGTTAAACTTCCTTGGACAGACACATTTCTGTGGATGACTATCATCACCAGGTTACTTAGGATTTTAAATATGGACACAATTGTACATTATCAATGGTTACCTGGGCAAGTCTGCCTGAAAAATAATATTTTAAAGGTGTTGTTCTCATAGAGGCAATGTTCCAGTACACCACTGGTAGCTTGTCAGACAAACACTGCAGGAATGTTATTTTTGACCCAACATGCAGTTGCAATGGAAAATTAAGGAAGAGACTCGTTCTTGAGATGTATTAAAAAAAAAAAAAAATTAAATCAGCTTCTCCTCCTGCAACTGTACCCATGGTAGCAAGCAAGCAGTAAAAAGTATATTTATCTCTCTGATAAACTACATTTAAGATCATTTCAGTGATGCTCACACATGAACAGTAAGCAAAAAGTTTTGAGAAACTCATTTTTCATGGCACTGTCAGATTTTAAATTTCCTTTCTGGTACGGAAAAGTTTGCAAGGTCAAACAATGCCATTTTATAACACTCTTTTCATTTAAGTTCAGACGGGCCCAGGTGCCATCAATGGTATCTCACTCACCATCCTCTTCGCTCTGGGCCTCGGGGGAAGAATCGGACTGGGAAGATGAAAATTCCTCTTTCCACTTTTTCCTTTTCTTTGGTGGTGGTTCAGCCTTTACCTTTGGCTGTTTAGCTTTGGGTTTCACGGAAGAGACTTTTGTTGCTGTTGGTTTTGGGGTTGGTGGATCAGGGGGTTTGATGTTGCTGTTACTCGGTTTGCAGTGAATGGTCCTGCAATGTTATGGAGATGATCTTCGTGAAAATAATTACCGCACAAGTTTTGGCATTAATAAAAGAGATATATTTTTATTTAATCAGATTATATTCCCCATTTATATATTTATATGTTCACTTACTTCACTGCCACCTGTAACTGGGAATCAGGTCATACACACTACACTACTGTATTTTTGATATAATGCTTAACAATTATTCTCAGCTACTTATGATTAAATAATATTCCAACTTTATAACCAGATAAAACAGGCACAGAAATTTTAAATTGCCCAATGTCAGTAGAGTTTATGAGCCAGGGGAGATTGGAGCTAATATTAAAATTGGCTATTTAACTGAAAAGAAAGCATGGCACTAACTAGTATATACTAGGAGAGAATAGTCACTAAAGCAATCCAGAAAAACATACCTAACTATTAAAGTCCTCAGGATACAAGAAAACAACATAAAAAAAAATTAAAATCATCACATCAGTGGGCTTTGGTGGCCAAAGATGACAGAAAAAATGGCACATGGAACCCTGACACCTCCCAAATAAATTACTGTTGAAGAGACTAGAAGTAGGGAAGCTTTGACATGGCAGTAATTTATATTTGATTTCTTAAAACAAAAACAGACAGTTCTCAGTTAGCAACTCTGAGCAGAATTAATAATCCTGAGTTATAACTCCTGTTTGCTGAAATAGGAAAACAATATGGCAAAATGAAAAACAAATTGAAATAAAATACCTTGCTGACTGCACAGGCTTGATCCGTGGTTTTTTTGAGCACACTCTGACATATTCCTTTTTGTTTGCATTTTCCACAAACTTCACATACACTCGCTTGTATTTTGTTTTTGCATCGCCAAAATACCCAAGATACTACAAGAAAAAAGAGGAAAAAAACAAAACCAAAAAAACTCACAAGTGTTTCTGTTAAATAAAATTAGTCAGTTTAACAATTGAAAAGGTCAATACCAAAGGAAAAAAAAAATCAGTTTAAAAAAAAAGAGGGTTACATACAAAGATATGCTATTCAACAGCGTTAATATAAGAAAAATTCTCCATCAGATTTCCAGATAATATTTAAAATTAAGGAAAGTTAGGCCAGAGGTACTGGACTACTAACCCCCCACCCCTCAAGGATGATTGCTAAGAATGTAAGCCAGAATCATATTTTAGTTTGTTTCCCAGATTTCCATGAAGGAAATCAGCTCCCACGGGGCTGGATAAGGAATTTTTTTAAGACTCACACTGTTAGTAGCAGCAAACTCTCTTTGTCCGTCTCGCACTTCAGGAACAAACTTTTGCAGCAAAGCCTTCTGTACTTTCCAGATAGCTGGAGGTTCCTTCCCTGTTTGCAAAGCAACCTGTAAGAACATAAAATTATTTGCTAAAAACAGTGCTTATTTTAATTCCCAAAATGTGTTAGTAACTCGGATAAAATTGAAATACGTAATTTGAAATTTCAAACCCCTGTTTGCATCAGGACACGTTTGTAATTATTATCTTTAATGAGAATTCTCTGTAAGTCCTACACAAAATGACTAATTCAAATAAACTCCCTCTGGAAAATATATATTGGTTGTATTTGGTTACTTTTTCATGACTCTTCAACTAACTACAATAAAACCTGAAATTTCACAATATATGTCCTAGCATATTGAATCCATTTTATAAGAGGCAAGGGAATATCTCAAACTGATAGCATTTGTTTTACGTGACAAAACTACATGAATTAATTTAAAACTGCAACTCAGAAAAGGATGAACACACAGACAAATAATCAAAAGCATCAGGAATTTTCTAAGAGTAAGAACATTGCTGGCTATGATAGCCCCCAGAGGAAAGGTAAACACGCAGAAGAATTTAAAATGGAGAAGCAACAAAACCAAACCAAACCCAGAAATCAAAGACAAAATGGAAATTCACATAAACTCAGGTGAAGAGCTGTACTGGTTGCTTAGGGAAACCTTTTCTTGTTGGAATACCAAGCAGAACTTCTTACAAAAATACAAAACAATTCCATTCAAGATCTTCTGCAGAAGTCCAAAAGTCATTTCCTCAACACCTTACACTTGAAAGTCTAGTCCTACCTTCTTAACAAAGAAAGAAAAAAAAAAAAGGTAGTCAACTGCCCGTGAAAAATTTATGCTTTTTAATATTCAAACAGGCAATTCCAAGTTCTAACAGAGGTTACCAGCAAGCAGATTTACTTTCCTGTGTGTGGAGCATAAAATGGGTCATGTACATCCAAAACATATTGGCAGTCTGCACTAGAAACGAACACACCTTTAAGGCATTTTGGCAGCAATCGAGGAATATCAGAATAGAAACACAAAACCAATACGCAGCCTCTCCCCTCTCGCTAGTTTGTTGAGGCTGAATTCATATGCAGGATTTTTCATGATGTTTTTTCCCCCCTCTCCCAGCAAAAATATTCAGATTACCTTTAGTGTCTCTATATCCTCAATCTTCACCACGAACTCGTCACGTTCTCTGTACATGCCCTCTCCTCCGCTGTCCGTGTTCTCCTCGTCGGTGCAGCCTTCTATCGCAACGGCCTCCTGCGCTTTTGCCAGCTGTTCTGAAGTCACAGCATCCTGCTGAGCTGCTTTTAAGGGCTCAGCTGGATTCACTTTCTCCTGCACGTTGCCTACAGGGGCAGTTGTCTGGGGAGGTTCCTGCTTTGTTACAGCAGTGGTGGCGGTGGCAGCAGCAGTGACAACTGTCCCCTTTTCGGTTTCTGAGGGGAAAAATCCGTATTTTGGTTAAACAAAGTATCAAGGGTTAGCAGTGTAATATGGGAACTAGATTTTTCTTTTTTTTTTCCTGTTGCAATATATATTAAAAGCAACTATTCTAGGGAAAAAATCCTGTTCTAGGAGTTCAAATAGCAGCAGTATCTTGGCCACAACTAAACCTTAAGCAAAACCAAAACCACTGCAGCTAAATACCTCTGTTTGTATTAAACTGCTGCATCTGTCAGCATCTGGGATTAACACAGATGAATGCTTTAGAAAACAACTTGACAGCCACAGACAGATCACTGGGAAATACTGTTGTACTTTGTGGCAACAAGCAAGCACAACAGTAAAGGTCACAGCACTGAATCCTGGTTCCAGTCTGCTGATAAGTTAAGTCTTCTTAAATTGGATTACAGAAAGGGAAACACACATGAAACAGTAAAAAAACATTTTCTGAATGAATTTTGGATATTTATCATTCATATCTTCTGGTAACGGAACCGGAATTTCCAGGCTACAACTTTGGCAATATCCTAATGGCTTTTAATATTAACAGAGGTGAGCAATGAGGACTGACGATACAAAACAAAGGGAAAGAACATTCTTCTCCTCCTCTATTCCAAAGAGCCAAAGGAAAATCCCACCTTCCAAAATTATTATTCTTTCCCACCTGAAAAAAATTAGAATCCTTTTTAGATATTACTTCATAGTCTTCTACACGTACTAGTTTTAACGCTGACTTGCTGATCTAAAAGAAATCAAGTTATATTTTCTCTAAGACAATTACTAATCACTTAGGAAACTCAAAATAACCATTTTACAGTTTTGTTACAAGCACTGCTAATTGTTGACTTTTTCACTCCAAAAATTATTAAAAAAGACAACGTAATAAATTTTAACAAAAGTGACTCCGAACAAAAGATTTCCATGTCAAAATCAACGTGTCAATACAAGATCTTTACACCAAATATCTGAAGATTCATTAAATCCATTCAGTAAAATTGTTAAGCCACAAAATATGTTCTTCTGGACATATCAACATCACATTATTGCAAATATGCTTTATTTCTTTGCCCAGTGAAAGCCATGCCAGCTTTAATTAGCCACAGCTTTATTAGTGCCCAAGTACAGTTACCCACTCTTCAGAACACCAGATAAAGGCACATGTGCTCTTTAATCCTATCAACAACAGATTGTGTTTTAGTATTTGCCTTTCTGTACTTATCTGCAAAAACAAGACAGAGGAGGGAATTATTTGAAAACCTGCAAACCACCAGCAAGTAAGGGAGATGCTTAGTAATGACATCTTGTACAATGGATGAGCAGTCTTGGATACAACAAACCAGGAGGGGGAATTCAAGGAATGGGGGGTATAAATATTACATCCTTGTGGATAATAAAGGAGATACAGCAAATAAAATGCTAATGGAAATTCCCACCCAGCAAAAAAAAAAAAAACCCTTGGAAACATTTTCTCTGGACGTTGTACAAGCAAAAATGGCTTATTAAAGTTAAGAGGCTCACACCGTGGCACTGTCCACATTTTGGCTTTGGGGGAAGAACAACAGTCACTGATTGTTGTTTAAAATACATGTTCAACTGAAAGACACAGGAGGAACCTCACCTTCTGTAGCAGACTTTCCAAAATGCATGAAGTTAACAATTCCATAGAAATACCCACACAAGAATACAGAATAGTCATTAATATAAGGTATTGCTTAGCATATTGCGTATTGTGCAGTATTTTCCCAGCATCTTTGGTCTAATTATTACAATTTTGGGTAAATCACATCACCCCTAGAGAGAAAAAAAAAATCTCCCTCTCTTCTTTAATCTAAAAAGGGAAACCATTACTTCACTCTTATCTTGTTAAGAATCAGCCTATGGGTCACAGGTCCCAAGTCCTGAGAGGAGATAAAGGAATGTTTCATTTTCTCCCTGTGATTATTTTGGAAGACAATGGTATTTCTCTTGAGTTAGTACAGTTATTGTGATTGGCTGGATAGTTTCTAATTGCTCATCAGAGGAAAAAAATAAACTTGACTGAAAAGGCCTGTCTAGGCAAAAACACGTTGCATGTTGAAAATACTTCAAAACAAACAGATGTAACACAAATGAAACCAAAAACTACCTAATACTGCAATTAGCTCTCGTTGCTGCCCCTCCCTGCCCAAAACAATTTTTTGTTCTTTTGCTAGCAATGTATTATCAACGTGGAGGTGCAAACACCCCTGATTACCACAGCTGAAATCAAACTCAAGTGACTCTCACCTTGGACAAGCCCAGTCAAACCAGTGCTCAGTTTACAAGGGCCAAAGTTGTTCCATAAACGCATTTTGTGCAACTTTATCGCCACAGAGAGCGCCACGTTTAACCCTACCTAGGAAGAGCTTAATGCCTGCTGATGGCAATTGTTAATATGTTCTCTTGCTTTAATTTTTTTTTTTTAAAAATAGGTTTAGAACCTCTGACACGATGGTTTGTTGAGGTTTCCAGATGAAAATCGTATTTAGCATCCTAAGCCAGAAACGAAGATAAAACACACATTGTTCCTACTCCAGGCTAAAATAACTTCTTGGCATTAGAAGAGTCCTACTTAAATAACATGAAAAACTTTATTTACGTATTTTCTAATTGTGAAAAACACTAGTTCAGTCCATGGCCAATACACCTTTTGAACAAAACTCTGAATTACGGTCAAAACCAAAACAAACCAAAACCGGTACCTGAAGACAGCTAAAAATTCTTAATTTCTTTTTCCCCCATCAGCTACAGAAATCTCCTTCAACTTTTGCACTTGTAGTAACCATTTTACCTGATTTGATCTTCCTATCAGATGTGTCATCCAGGGCTGACAATGCAGTAGAGATGCTCTTCTGAAGGTCGTGGTTACCACCCACGGAATCATCTTCATCAGAAGAAAACGAAGGCAACGTTTCTAAATTTTTCTTAAGTTCTTCGTCAGCTTTTTTGGTCGGGCTTTCCCCACTAACCTCAGGAGCAGCTGCAGGTGTTGCTGCTGCTGGCTGGGGCTTTGCAGAGGGCTGTGGGCAAGGGGCACGAACTATTTGTGTAACTGGTCGCCTAGTCCTGTTTGGCATTCGCACAGCTGGGGTCGAAAACTGTTGCCTAGGCCCGGACTTGAGAAAGTCTAAAAAAGATGCAATAAATCCCGTTTTGACTTCGGGCTGCTTTTCTTCAACTTCTTTAATTTTTTGCCTCATCCTCTCCTGATGTTGGTAAGTGTCGTAACAGCTTTCAGAAACAGGAGAGGAGTAGGTGAAACACGAGTCGTTTCCTCTGGAATTCTGACGTTTACACTGCCCGCTTCTCTTTACCTGTTTCTGAATTGCACCGTCATCTTCTGCAGCACTTTTGTTTTGGCTCTTTCCTTTGCTTTTTTTCTTCTGGAGGTTCCCTTGAGCTAAATCTTGGCATTCTTCTTCAGTTCTGTTAACGGCTCCATCTCCGCTCTGGGGCAGGGATAGCGGCTGCAATGGAACCTTTGACTGGTTACCTGCTACTGTACCGTCATCACCACCCACATTAAAATCATTCTCCGAAGCAGCACTTTCTTCACTTAGGCTCCTACCACTGGAAACAAACTCTGTGTCTCTCGCATTCAGTGCACCATCGACAGAAGCATCGTTATCTTCTTCAGATTCGTGACTGATGCTGGATTGTTTCTTAACTCGAACTGCCCCTTGTTCCTGCTCTTCCTGACCGGGGCCAAGGCTGGGAGAGGTCATTCTCGTTGGTACATTTTGCTCGGAAGTTTCAATGTGCTGCTGATCCAGGTTCACAGTTTTTGTCTGTATTGCTGCCACCGGTGTAAGATTTAGAGTAATTTGGCCTCCGTTCAGAGAGATATTATTTCTGCTTGCTGGCTTTCCAACTACAGTAGGTGAGGCACTAAAAACAGAAGACACGTGTCTTACATCCAGTGACTGGAACTGTGCTTTGGACTCCTCGCTGTTTTCAACAGTCTGGATTTCCTCTTCGTTAGAAGCTGATTTGGCAAAGTCAGATGGAGTCACTCCACAGGCTGCTGCTGTTGCTGCTAAGATGTCATCCACATTGGACAATATATTCCTCTCATCACTGAGAAGTATAGATTCTGGGAAACATATTGAACTAAGAGAAACAAACTGATTTTTCGAGTCATGCTGATTTGTCTGAGTGAAATGATCTTTCGCTGCCAAATGCTGCTGTAGTGGTTTCGAAGGCTCAGAAATGTCCATTTTCATGACTTCTGAACCCTGACCGTGCAGCTGCTGCTGGGAATGACCCCCGTTACTTTGAATAATATGGCCATCCATCTGAAGGAACGGATGCGTCACCTGCTGGGGACTCTGGATCCTCTGCACTTGCGGCGACGCCTTTGCCTGTCCCAAACCCGCCTGCAGTATCGACTGGTGAAGGATCTGCAGGTCGCAGGTCGACTCCAGCAGGACCTGCGCGCTGGGCAGACACAGCTGGTGGCCGTGCCTCAGGGCATGAGGCTGCACCTGCGGTGCCGCACTGATGACCTGGCCCTGCTGGTCTGCAGTCTTGCTCTCGTGTACCTTGTGCATCAGAGAACGCTGCTGGTTCAGCTCCTTGGCGCTCACGGTCACCTGCGTCGTTCGCAGTAAATTCGCCGTCTTCTTCATGTCGTGGCTTAGGCTGCTGATGTGGCCGATGTGCTGGGAAAGCTGCTCCACAGAACCGGCCATTCTTTCGTCCTTTTTCGTTCCTTGAAGAGCGAGCCCGACAACTTGATCCTCAAGGCGAGAGTTACTTCTGATTACGCTTTGAGAGTATCTGTCGTTTGCTTTTGAGACCCTATATGTTGCATCCTGAGCGTTGATTTCCTCCTCGGCGAGGCTTTGAGTGGAAGGTTCAAGAGCAGCTTGCTGTTGCAGTGCCTGCATCTCCTGCATTGATAACTCCTCCTCCTGTTTGGATGAGGCGTACAAGTTAGAGTCAGACTTCCTCTTCACGTAGGCCTTTGTTTCCGAGGAAGGCCTGCTGTTCTGCAGCGTCTGGGAATGAGCTGGGGATGCAAAAGGAGACTGGACAGAGGGCAAAAACTTTTGAGACTGTGGAGAGGAGGATTCTTGCGACTGAGAGTTCTGAGAAGAATGCAAAGAAATATAGCTTTGATTAGGACTCGAGGCTGGAAGGGTTTGCACCCGAGGAGAGGCGTTAAAGGAAAGAGAAGGCGACGTCAATGTTAAAGACTGCCCTGAAGAATAGCTTTCTGAAGGACTAACGGCTGATAAAACTTGTGATTGAGATGAAAAATTAACTTGGGACTGGGTAACTGGAGATAAACCCTGAGAGTGACTAGAAGAGTAGCTCTGAGACTGGCTGACTGAAGAAAGTTCCCTCATTTGCCCAGAGTAGTTGTCATTTGGAACTGAGGTCAACGCCTGTTCCTCTGAGGAGTAACTCAGAGTCTGACTGTCGGAAGTAATGGTTTGGGATTGCCCAGAGAAAGTCAATGTTTTATACAGTGAGGGCAGCTTCTCAACCTTGCTGGACGAGAAATCCTGTGAGTGACTGACAGGTGGCACACTCTGAGCCTGGCAGGACACGTAGTTTTGGGACTGACTGACCGACAGGAGGCTCGGGAGCTGTGCCGTAGAATAGATCTGTGCTTGGCCTGTGATGACAGAACTCTGGTTCTGTGCAGTTTTGGCATAGCTTTGTGTCTGCACAGTGGGAGCTACACTTTGAGGTTTGGGGGTCTTTGCGGACCCCGGGGGCTGCTTCATGGAACAGTTTTTCACTTTTGCCGTGGAAGCAGGCGGAAAACCGGGCGAGGGAATTGCAGACGTGTACGACTGAGCGAGTTCCACCGTGACTTGAGAAGTCTTCTGCTGTGGTCCTCCGTTGCTCACCTGAGTAACATCTCCGACCGGACTGCAGGATAACGCCGAGTGCCTGGACGTATCCTGAAAATTAACTCCACTGCTACTCGTCAAATAGCTGTGTAAGGAATGCTGGGAAACAGCCAGCTGGGGCTGAACAGACTGAGTGCTGGAAGGCCGCTGATGGTGTTTAATGACACTACATTCTCGCTGGAGCGCTCTGTCGATCGACGCCGCGGTGGAACCGGTGAAGGCAGACGTGCTGTACGCCTGGGACACCTGCTGGGCTCCTCCCAGGGTCGAAGGCAACAAACTAAACTGAGGCTGCAGGAGATGGGGCGCGGACTCTTGAGCGGAGCGGTATGTTGATGACTGGGGGGGGATGCTGGTACTTAGCACAGAGCCGCCCAGGCGCTCGAATGTCAAAGCGGTGGGGACAGCGCCTTGCGAGGTTTTAATCTGTAATAAAGGATCATGGGTAGTTAAGAGACCGTTTGATGTAGCACTGAAAGTAGTATCTTGGAGAGTAAGAGAAGGGGTAGTGGCAAAGTTTCTACTGCTGAAAGTGTTGGGATGCTGATACGCTGACAGAGCGGATGTTGGTGGAAATGTTCCAGAGGTTGGCAAAGCTCCAGTAACAAATAGTTCTGTGGCTGTTGAGGAATGCATACCTGGAAAAAAAACAAAAAACAAAACATGAAGGAAAAAAAGCGCATAAGGGGGCTTTACAAGTTACAGCATTTCTGTAAGTCATTTCACTGTAAGCTCTTACAGCATTTACGAACATAACGTTCTTCGGAATCACCACCCTTTACATAAAAAACCATGCTAAGTGAGGCACTTTTGGTGGGCAATTTTTAAAATCGAAGTGCAGGTTTTTCTAAGAATTTCAAACTCTGTACCTGCAGTGAATTGCCAGGGGGAAAGCCTCATATCCTTAAGGGGCAAACTGAGTGTAAAAAAACTGTACAAGATTAATTCTGCTTTGAAACTGAAAGTTCTTTATTAGTTTTTATTTCGGTTTAAGGAATTCATAGCGAACTGGATCAAAAGCCCTCAACGCCTTCAATACGCAGTAAAAAGGCAAAATTACACCTCACCAAATGCAATACACACACAGCTAAAGGAGCAATCCCATCTCCTGCATTTACCCTCACCAGTACTTTTATAACTCACTTTATGGGAAATATTTCAGAGCCTACAGTGAAATAGCTAATGGTCTATACACTTGGCATTTAATTTTCTTAAAAGCAGGGTTTTGGCTTTCAATACAAGCAATAAATACGATTTCTACGCTTTCCAAAGTGAGAGTCCAAAATATCCACAGACAGCAACTATCTGCACGGTGCAACAGCAACCATCCAACTGAAAAGTGTAATATTACTTATTTGCATCCAGCCACTGGTATGACATCCTGGCTCAAACAAGACCTCTCAACAGAATATACTACTCCAGCTGAAACAGGAGTGTGACATTCCCTTGCAAGCCTTCAGGCTTACACCAATGATCCACAGCATTCAGAGCTTTTCACCCTGTAACTTGCAGGTATTGGTGAAGTTTGTGCACTGTTTCCAAAGTCTATGAAAAAAAAAAAAAACAGTGAAGAAGACAAGTTTATTCCCAGAGAAGCTTCAAATTCCTGTAAAGGAATGAATTTCCACCGAGGAATTAACTTGGGTATGCAAATTAGACAAAAAAATAAAGTCTCTGGTATAATTTGACTTTTTTCAATTCTTCTCCCATATTTAAAACAGATTTTAGTTTTGGATCATTTAAGAATAAATACAAAACTCTCAGCAAGTAAAGCTTGTTTTGAAAAAAACCCCTTCAATTAAAAAAAAAAAATTCATTTTAAAATACATGAACTTCTCTTAATCTCGTTGCAACTTAATCATACAATTGCTTTTGAAGGTTCAGGTGAGGCTGAGAAATAAATTCTTTGTTTCTCCCTTTCAGTTCAAGACAACTGATATGAAGAGATGTGATAGTGAAGGAATGCCAAGGTATTTTTCATTAGTCAACAATAAGGTCTTTCTGAGCAAGAAGGCATACACAGTGTTTTAATGCACTTTTTTCTCCCCTATTCTAAAAAACTGCAACATCATTTACAACTGGGTTCTCTTTCTTTCACTGATCCCTACCACTAACACAAAGGTAAAGCCATCCAGAAGCAGCAAGGAACAGGAAGAATTTACACCTATTTTAATTGCAGATGTAATTTCTCATCTGACCTGTATTTTCTCTTTCTCTCCCACGAATCAAGACCCTTTCTGCTACACAGGTAATTTCTTGAACCAGACAAGAACCGGTCACAGAAGCACTAATATAGAACTGCTGGATTTTATATTTTTACTTTTGTTGAGGGGCAGACAAAAGGTATGGCAAAGCTAGTAAATTCTGTGCACAGACACACTTCCACTACCCTAAGAAATCAGAACACTGATAACACAGCTCACAGATCAAAGGAACACTTGGTGGGACAATGTAACACACTGTTCCTCCTTTTTCCCTCAAAATCAACAGCTGAAGGGTTTGGAGAAAAACCCCAAAGTAAGAAACCTTTCTAAAGAAAGGTCACTTTGAAGAGTGAAGAGCTCTTGTTTTCCCTCATCAAAAAAAAAAAAAAAAAAAAGTCTGTACAGGACAAAGCTCTCAGAAGACATATGGGGGGATTGAGGGTTGTGGAAAAGCAGCAAAAATTATTAAAAGGACAACAGAAAGCTCAGAGAACTAGTAATATTGAAAAACGGGCTTACTGATGAGTTCTTAGTAATGAGTACTGAGAAGTCTCTCAATCACTGGTACCAACATCAAACCCGACCCACAGCAGTGTCCCCATTCTTCACAAGTCACTGCTAGGCAGCTGCAATGGAGAGAATGCTTGGAGAAGAGAGAAAAAGGTTTCTTCCCAGCTGACATTCTGGCGTGAGGATGGCTCATCACAACTCAAAACACCCCTGATTATACTAAGATTTTTTGACAGATTAACGGTGTGAATCTTCATCTCTGCTGCCACGTATCTGCTCTTGTCAGCGGTGAGTAAAAAGCCACGTTGTCTATCCTCGACTTTTCTGAGCAGCTCTCCACAGAATGCAGCTGCACGTTACACTGAACAGAGCGAGTGCAAACTGTCAGCTAAAGGACTGTTCCACTCTTCCTACCTTGTGCCTCCTCCCCAAATCAGAACAATCACACAGCTGCACCGAGACACAGATCAGCTTGCTGATACAGAGGAAAACCATCCCACCAAAGGGAAAAAAACCCCCCTCAAACATCTTCTGTCGGCAGTGAATAGACCCGATTCACTGCACAGCTGCACAATCACTCCACAAGATTAACCATAACTTGAAGCAACCCACAGATGCAGTTGCAACACTTATCTTGGTGTGACTGCCTAGAGTGAGCTCAAAATATGCAGTTTCCTGCTCTGCACAGAAGGCCTGACAGATGGGGGAGGTTTATAGAGGGCAGTCAGTCTGCCAAAAGAGATGGCACATTTGCTTAGCTGTAGATTAAACCACTTATTTCTGTGTGACAGGCACCTCAGACCTCTTTGAGAACACCTTGCCCATTCCTTCTATGCACAGAGGGGCCAAAGTTATCCACAGGCTTTTAGTAGTATTATCACAGAAGAACTATCATAGGGAACAGAGTTTGAGAGTGAATGATCAGCTAGGATGTACAGGGAGTCTACCTGAACATGCTTACGATGATACTGAGACTAACCCCAAACAAAGTTGGTAGAATAAATTTGACTCGTTAAGACATCCTGTGCATCTAAATTCCTCCTAAACAAGCAGAACTTCTGCTCATATAATTCTTCTGCTAATATAGTTTCATTGACTTTGATATTCTTAAATATCAAGATGTAAAAGAGGTAAGAAAACATGCAGCCTTTTCAGTCAGTCGGGACATTTTTGTTCCAAATTCTCCCAAACATTCAATATAATCATGATAAAGTTTTATTTCAAGATAAAATTTTCACCTGTCTGCCAGGAAGGAGCCCTGAATTGTGGTAAAAGGGTAGATCCTGAAGAGACTGCTTGAGCAGTACGAGACTCAATAGCAGAGAGAAAATTCATAACTGAAGAAGTTTCCTTAGTGTTACTTCCAGCACTGTGCATACTGGTATCAAATATTCCTGAAAGACCTGGATGATGGTGGGGGCAAATGAAACAACAAAACAGACAATTCAGATGAAATTCCAAGAAGCTGCATCAAATAACAAGGATACATTCGTAATTCACAAAAAAAAGGAGACACGTTATGAAACATTAGCACTGTTACTAAAGTACACTGATTTTTCTGTGTTTAATTAACTCTTATACACTGTCCTCTTTTCACGTGAACTGGTAAAACACTCAGAATTCCTCCTGAAATGGGTTCAGCTTCTCTGTCTCACCCTTCGTGCAGGTTGTAGCAGGTTGGACAGCTCTGTAGGACTGGCACACGAAAAGGAGTTTTGGTTGCACTCCACAAACCCCATTGTGTGTTTGTGATGTGTCCCATTGCTCAGATCTCTCGATAGCAGGGGGCTCAATGGAAAGCCCTGCAGAGATCCAGAGTTGGGAGCAACTGAGATGATGTCCAGACTGCAGTTCTGACCCTCCCTTGTCCTGATCAAGGACCTGGCCAAGAGACTCCAGTCAGCACATGAGCTCAAACATCTTTCTTTAACACTGGGTTGCAAAGCCAGCATGAAGAGGTCATGCCCTGTCTTCTCCTGCCATGGAAACAGGTTATCATCGGGATCAAAAGACAGCTCCTGATGCAGATGTAACACAGCCTAACCTCCTGCTATGTTTAAAATAAATTGTAACATTCCCCCAGCACTGCCTCGGTTTGCACGTGTAAGTACCAGCAGTAGCAAGTTCCAGCTCGCATCAGTTCTGCTGTTTGCTCTGGTCTGGAACTGGTACGATTTCTGCTGCTGGCTTTGAGGCATGTTCAAGGTTTGGCCCTCGTGCATAGGCCCCAGCCTGAAAAGCTGTATTTTACAGAACAAACGCAGCTTCTTCAAAAGCCAACAAGTTACTAAGCATAACCTCCCTCTTACATTTTCCTTACTACTCACGGCATTTTGATCAAAGCTAACAACTTTCTGCCACAAACTCAGGTCTCCTGATACCACTTGCTACCACCTGCATGACAAACTCCCTACGATTACAAAATCCATCAACTTCAATTTGAATGACTTAACAGTTGTGATTTTTTTTTTTTCTCTCTCTGTAGCTATTTAGGCAGTATTCTCACGACAGGGACAGTTACCAGCAGGATGTTGTGTAGCAGAGTATCCAGGAAGCTGATGAGAAGCTGTGTATGTCTGTCTGTGAAGGTCTGTTTCTGAATGGGATGAATGTCCTCCTCCATAGCTTAAGCTAAGGGAGAAATGAAACATTATTAAACACAGATATACAGCTGTAGAAACAAAGATCACTTATGAAATCCCAATCACAAGCCACAACGTTGCAGAATTAAAGGACAGATGTAGTTGTGGTACAATATCACTAAAAATGTTAAGCAGATATAAAAGGTGCTACGAAACCTGACAAGCCAAAGGGGGAGGAGAAAAAAAAACAAACCAACCTTACAAAAATCAAAGCTTCTAATGGAAAAGTTTATAATGGACCAGGTCAGAAAGACAGAGGTCTTCCCAGTTCAACTGCGAGAAACACTGGCTGGACACTTTTTGTAATGATTTACTGATGTCAAGTCTGCAAAGCAGATGACTACGAATACAAGCCCACTTTAGCACTTCCACTTCTAATTCCATTAAAACTTACAGGACCTCATTTAATTCAAAGTCCGGAACAACTAGGAAGCTGTGGGAGCAATACTCTTTTAAAAATTTCAGTACTTTTGTGACAATTTAACAGAATTGACAGTGAAAGCACTACAGAGTGACAAATCTATCTTCAGCCCTCCTAGCATTAAATGTAAGTTAATGGTTCACAGCTTTTATTTACCATTTTTAAATGAGTCATCTAAATTAACGTGATGTTTTAATCAGGCTTAATGGAAGCAAACTAAAAATCTCCAGTGTCAGGGTCCACGCAAAAGCAACAATGCAGAAAACAAATAAATGCAATCTTAACATTAGAGACTTGCCAAAAGCCCTAATGATTTCCAATTCAGAAAGTAGAAAAGAGAGGGGGGTGCAAAACAAAACCCCAAAGCTTTCAAGCTTCCACAGACTCAGGCCCATATAGCACCTGTTAAATAGAAAACAAATTCAGGTCAGCACAACCAAGTGACCATTTATCTTCTTTTCTTCTTGTTTGCAGGACGTTAAGTTCATAGGTAGCTGCTCCTTACTCCAGGGCACGTGTGGGATTGCTTGGAGTTCAAAATTCAGCTGTAAACAAACGCCAAAATAACCCAAAGGACGAAACCCACAGCCCTCCCCGCTGCCTGCTGTAAGGGAGACTTATCCTCTTCCATCCCCTGGGATGAGGGGGCAGCCACTCTGCATCAGGGAAAAACTGAGCACTCGATGCCAGGAATCATGACATCATGGGAAACTTTTACAGAAGGCACCAAATAACACGAAAACTGGCAACGCTGCTGGATTTGCTTCGTTTTCATTAAGATGACAGGAGGAGGTAGATGAGCCTCCAAAGAGCACTGCGACCTCCACACGCTCTCAACTGGTGAGAGCCTGCCTGAGATGCACAGCCAGGGGATGCACCTTCCACTTCAGCAACGCTCTGCAGTCAACGTGCTAAAAGAATGACCCAAAATCCTCTGGAAAAACTAAGAACCTGCTTCTCTCTGTGGCACTCGCTGTCTGGCACTTTAACACCTTTCACAGCAGTAACTGCAACTTAGAGAGTTGCCAGCCCCAAATTCGGAGTCAGCACATCCACGTGCTTATGCTGTGGAGGACAGATCTCTGTGCAGTTCAGCACTGTGCATCAGCAACTGATTTCTGTTATGTGCTGACTGAAATCTCACCACTTGCATCACTGCTGTGGATTACATGACACTGTAGGTTACTTTTTTTATTATTATTATTTACAGAATTAAAAAGTTTTAATTCTTTCCAGACAACAAAAAAAATTGCAGAGATGTTCTGCACTGCATGTAATAAAACCAACTTAAGCACAAGTATTTTCACAGGAAAAAAAAATAAAATCTAAAGCTAAGGTGGTTTGTGGTTTTGGAGCAAACTTGCACAGTTAGGAAAAAAAAAACAAACATAAAACTTAGGAGATGTGAAGTTTTCTTCAAGTTGCTTTTTTTTTTTTAAATAAATAAAAATGCACTACATGAGAAAATAAGTGTCTAAACTGAACCACGGCAGCAAACGCAACGTTAGCAAGAATTACCTTCACCAGAACAAATGCTGATCTTGCAAAAACTTCCCCTGTGCAACAGAAATTGGTTTCGCTTCGTTTTCCTTTCGAGTCCTCTTAAAGCATTTACCTACATAAAAGCACGTGGTGCCAACTTCTCTCTCACCCATTTTATGTATGAAATCACTTGAAAATTAGGGGAACTGAAGAGTTAATTTCTTTAGGGGGGGGTCTTTGGCTGTGTTTTTTTTTTTTTAATTTGTTTTGTTGGGGTGGTTGCGTTTGGTTGTTAAGGGATTTTTATTATTATTATTATTTGAATCTTTTACTTATTCTGGTTGTTTGGTGAAGACTGTGATTAATTCCCCCCTCTTCACTCCTCTCCAATAACCACCTCTGTTGTTAAGGGGAGGTACAGCACACACAGAGGCTACTCCACAGCCTAAGAGCCACAAACCTGTAAAACAGAGGCTGAATGCTCTGAATGATAAAAAAAACACTTGTGAAAGAAACTAGGACAAAAACTTTGCAACAAGAAAGACTCAAAAATTAACGCTGGGATACAAAATAACCTCTAAATTTAAGAGCCAAGAAACACTGTTAATTACTAGAACCTCCAAATTCGAGTTCTGATGAGCGTTTTGGGAACACTCAAAGTAGGCGATGGCTGGGTTTGTTTCTTCCTTTAATGCCAACTCCACAGTCAACGTAACCGCAACCTCAAAAACAAATCCGTCTTTCAATAAAAACTCCGTATTTATTTGAGCAGTTAATTGTTTATTGTATAATTACTGGTTGCTGGAATGTAGATCCTTATCTCAGAAAGCCTTGCATATATATGCCTTCAGTTTACATAAGCTTATCCTAAACAAGCCCAGCAATCTGAGAGATTGCCGCCTTAGGGTTTTCTTTCTATGAAATTCAGCTTCTCTCAACAGACCAACTCATGCAGCGTGTAATCTGCATATCAAAAAATACATTCACCGTGGCAAACAACCTCGTGGCTACCGAGCCCTTTGCACCCTTGTTCTGAAGTTTGCCAGAAGTCCTCACTTGCACTGAAATGTCACATTAGTCGCTGAAGGGACATTCACGTTACCCAGTACTGTGTTTGTTATCGTTAATTGCTACGTGGTGTTCCAAAAACACTTGGCCCTTATCACTGATTATCACACCAATTCCCACTTCTACTGTCACAGTGGAGTGATTAGTGCTAGAAAATAATACTGATTCGAAATACAAATTTAGGAAATAGTTCCCCTCCAAAGTAATTTTTCATTGAGAAGATCCATTCGATTTTAGTGGAATATTTAAGCGTCCTTTTAGAGATGTCCCACAAAGAATCATCATTATTGACTCAAGTGTTAATCTGGTTTTTTTCAGCTGCATTGGCTGGGCTAACAGAACACTGTTGCCTCTGCAGTAAACTTCTGGAAATGTACAGTCTTTGCACTTCATTGTTACTAAAATACCTCAACCTTGATTTACAACTCCCTTTTTGTTAGCCCAGATTAAGTCATCCCAGAATCCCCTCTTCACGTACCCGTTTGTACTGCTATGCTCACCATAATTTATTTCCAAAGCATTCTTCAATCTCAATAATTTCATCCAAAGTCAGGTCTCCATCTGCAAAAGGTTACTGGGTCACACTGCACTCACCAACCTCCTCACCTGCCCAGACAATTATCAGGTTTGCACTTTGCACAAGTGATGGATGCATTTCTCAACTTCAAACTCAGATGGAAGCACCCCTCTTACAACGAAACAAAATTTAGCTGCAATAAAGACATGTAAGTAAGTATTTTTATTTCTTTCACTCCCTTCAAATAATCTTGCTCTCCTAGGCATCCATAGAGAAACAAAAAAAAAAAACTCCTTAAAAACAAGTATCTTAGTTCACTTAATACAAGAAGTATCATTACATGGAAAGGGGGCATTTTCATCTTCCTACTTTATTTTCCAGATAATTCTTCATTACAGCTTAGCAGTTTTTAAGGTTTTTGATTGATTGTTATTTTGCTTTTGTGGGTTTGGGGTTTTTTTTGTTTTTGGTTTGGTTTGTTGGGGTTATTTAAAGTTTTGCTACAGCCATTATTCAAGAATTAGGTACACTTATAATGCTTACATGAAAAAAAGACCAGAGCTCTTCAGGAGCAAAGGATCCTTTTGGGTTGTTCTCAGGCACTTGTAGCTTCTGCCTCATGTAAAGGACAATTGCTAAAGCAAAGGAGTCTCTCTCCAAGCAGCTACTTCGCTGTGCAATAATAGCAAGTCCCAGTCAGAGACCAAAAGCAAAGCCATAAAAACGACAAATGCACTTCTAAATATTGAAAACATCATTTTAAATATAAGATATAGAAACTGATATGCAGCTTATGTCTCTTTCTGTCCATTATATTTGATTTTAAACATGTAAAGTGCAGTTCCAGCTTCTATGACGTGATGGCAGGTTTGTAGTTAGAATTATTTTAGTAGCAGATACAGCACTTATTATTTTGCTTAAACCTTTATCTTTATTAATTTGCCTTTATTCGATCATCTCTTGGAGAGAGAATGGAAGAGTGTTACTCAGAAACATTATTTGAATTCAACACAGATGAAATGGGGGGCAAATGGCCCTTCAGCTGCCCATTGTAACAGCAAGAGTTCACAGTTTGCTACATCAAACTAGACTGTAATTCAGCATCTGGGCTTCATCTGCAGCTCAGAATAAAATTAAAATTTAAAAGAAAAGCTAAAGGTAGATATCTTGAACCCAAAAAATAGGTTTGTTCTTATATTAAAAAAAAAAAAAAAAAAAAAAGCCACGACTCTAAGAAGCAGAAACATAAAGGACAGAAGGAGTTGCCCAGGAAGAAAGTTGATAAGCTAATTAAATTCAATACTCTCAGTAACACCAAATCACTCCTGTCCAACACACTTCTGGAAGTTTAAAAGCCCTTAAAGGCAACTGAAAATGCTTCAGAAATTCCAAAGGAAAAGAATGGAAAACAAACTCCTCAGCCCAGAGACTCGTTTCAGTGCAAAGTATTTTTTTAAATGTATACAAGATGTGATTTTTCACCTCTATTTCCCAGACACACACTGGAGGGGAGGGGGAAGACACTGCAAGAACAAATTTTATCTGAAGCTTGAAAATGTTGGCAGGCTGAGGAAAAATAGGAAACCAGCCTACTCTCTGCATCTCATTTCCCTGATCCTCACGTTAGATTATACAAGACAAAACAAACCTTCATGTTTGAAGATTCCACTCACATTTGCGCAAGGAATATTTAACAGTCTAGATCAGTTATGGTGTCCAAGAGACAAAAGAAAAAAACTAATTGGCTACTTGAAAAATAAAGTCTACCATGGAGAAATTAGAAGCAAAGTACCTCTAAAATTATTACATCTTGAAAGGTACATATGGCACTTCTTTTAAGAATAGCACACAACTTCAGTATTTGCCTAACCTGTTTTGGAACAATAACAAGAAATAAACAGATGTCAATATTTCCAAGTATTATTAACTATCTAATAATGTTATTTGTCATGATAACATCTTTTGAAAAGATGGAAAACATAGAATATAATACTGAGGTATCTCAGTAAAACACACAAGAGTAGCACTTTATCAACAATCTCAGCTGTCTGTTGGTCGTGCCACATTCTTCCCCATTAATGCAA